CCGCGGAATTCAAACAAAAAAGAAGCACATCTAACAAAAACACAAACAGCAGTGAGATATGAGATCGTAAGCAGAGGAAGAGCACACGACAGAAGATCGACACAAACTAGGGCACGGCACAACACACCCTGCAGCACGCCCGCCCCCCCTCCCCCCAGCGCGCGCTCCCTCCTTAACCTACCACGCAAAAGAGAGAGAGGGCAAGCCAAGAACGGACAAAAAAAAAGGAAGCACGTGCACACAGAAGCGAAACTATGGTAACCATCCAGAGAGTAAATGAAAACAACGGCTGCACCGCAAAATGTCCAGGCTACAGCCACTCAAACGGCGCGCCCCTTGCATTTTTTCCGGAAGCCACTCAACAACCCTTAAGTCCCAAGAACAAAACAAGCCACAAAGAAAACGACAACGGAAAAAACCCTCTCTGGAATCTCCCTACTTCCTTCTTGCCGCACCGTCATCCACCACAAGATTTTGCCCTGTCACCGAGCCGGCGCGGTTCGACAGCAAGAACGTCACGGCCGACGCCGCGTCCTTGCCCACGCGCCCGCCGCGCGCCGTCGCCGTCATTCCGGCGGCCGGCCTGCCGCTGCCCTCCGGCACGCTGACCGCGTTCACGCGCACGTGAGGGCCGGAGCTCAAGGCCAGGGCGTGCGTCAGCCCGGCGAGGCCCCCGGCCGCGGCCGTCAGAGTCTCGCGGTTCGAGATCGCCCCCGCCCCAGACACCGCCGCCAGCCCCGGCCCGGACGCGGGCAAGCTCGTGCACACCACGTTAACGATGCCCCCGGCAGAAACCTTGCCCTTGGCGCACGCCGCCTGCAGCAGCGGCAGCGCGTGCTTCACCGCCAGCATGGGTTCTGTCAGGGCTCCGGTCAACGCGTCGGCCCAGTCGGACGGCTCCAGGTCTTCGAGCGGGTTCACGATCCCGTCGCCGCCGGCGGAGCCGGCGCCGAAGCTTCCGCCGTTCGGGAGCGCTCCCCCCGCCTCGTCCCCGACCAGCATCGCCGGCGCCGACGTGTTGCACACGAGACCGTCCATCCCTCCAAACGACTCCACGCACAGCGAGGACAGCCGGCACGCCCCGTCCTCGTCTCCCGGCCCTCCCATGTCGAAGAACACCAGGCGGCCTTCCGCCAGGGCATCAGCCTCGGGGGTAGTAGCGGCCGCGCTCGCCCCGTCCCCGTCATCTGCCGGCCGGAGGCCGGCCGCCGTTGCCTGCTCGTTGGACATGCCTCTGTCGGCGGCGATGACGGCCGCGCCCTCCTGGAGCAAGCGCTTCACGATGGCCGGCCCGCACCCGCGAAGGGCGCCGGTCACGGCAACCTTGCGTCCGTTCAGCCCCTGCAAGGCCTTGACGGTTGACTTGGCCTTCTTCAGCTCGGCCTTGACGGAGTCGATCTCGTCCTGCATCTGGACCCTCAGCTGGACGCGCGGCATGGCCGAGAGAAGAGTGTGAAGGAACACCAAGCAAGGGCGTGGGTGCGGATGGGGGGAGGGTGGTTAGAATCAGCGATGGCATCGGTGTTGAAGGCAGGCAATCGAACACTTTTCCCACCTAAGCATGTATTTTCCCGTCCCTTCCCATTATTGTTTGCCTGTGAGACCGTCTGGTAAAGATCACTGTCATCGCTGGTGCTTCTCATACGAACCGCGGCTTGCAACGAAACCCGCAGGAGGCATGCACCAACTGCTGCGGAAGCATGTAGCACTCCGCAAGCGAGGACAACTTGTTCGTCCAAAAAACGGAACAACGCCGTACCCAGGCGCACTTGCAAGTCTAGCTTCGCAGCTCTTGAACAAATAGCACCGAAACTTCTCCCACCTGGTCAGCGCATCGAACAAGCGTACGAACTCGCGCGGCACCTTGCTACGATCGCGTAGGTGGCACAGAAGGCTCGGGGAAAAACTTGGGCCTCCGCTATGGCGGTCGCTCCAACCATATGTTATTTATTTACTTATATTAATATTACCAACGATGTTTTACTTCGTGGAAGAATCATCCCCCACGGTCTATGTCCAAACAACAATATGAGAAAGCACGCCCCAGAACGGAAGCTAGTCCACGTCCAACTTTGTGTGTAGGAGCAACCGCGGATCAGAACTTGGGGGGTGTTATGGCCCACAGTACCCTCAGCAGGCTTCCACGGATGTCAAAGAGCATTTCTCCGACATTCCTGAAAGGAGGGCCGGGGGATTCTTTCGTCCCAAACATGGCCGGAGCTGTCGAGGAATGACTCTCATCCTAATGGGCAAACATGACCCCGAGGGCTCCGTCTCATCACGATGGTTCCGTCGAACGAACAAAAAAAAAACAAGGGAAGCCTGCAAAACGGGTGCTCAACAAAGGGAAAACGCCCATAAAACTACACCCACTCATAGCGTTTGTTTGCCGATTTTTGTGAGTCCGCATTTACTTCCTCTTGATTTCTACAAGAGGTGCACCCTTTTTCGGGTTGTTGACCTGTGACCACGGAAGGTACCCGAGTCAGTTGGACCAGTACGGACGTGCATAGTACTACTGAGTAGAGACCGGAACGATTTTTCAAGGTCAAGGACAGCAGCATTAACTCGAGGCACCCTCCCCAAGTCACCTCCGCGAGCCTGACGGATAGCGCCTGCTCCTCGAGGTGCTTCTGCTTCTCCTGGGCCACCAGCCTGGCCGCCTCCGCCTCCTGCGCCTCCTTCTCCTTGCGCTTCCGCACCAGCTCCTGCATCTCTCGCCCCACCGTCGCGCGGACCTGCTCCCCCCTGACCCACGCCTGCACCGACACGGCCGCCTTCCTGTCCCGGAGGAACTTCTTGCGGGCCAGCCAGCAGCGGAGAGTCGTCTGGATCTTGGTGATGGAGTTTGAGATCATGGCCGTCCTGCAGGGCACGAGAAAAACGAAACCAAATACGCACGAGAGGGAGAGGCACATAGAGTGAGAGATCTAGAGAGCAGGAGACCGAGAGAGAGGGGGGGATTAAGGTCACACTATGTACGGAACAGAACGATCTACGTGATCAAGCTCCACCTAGTGTACCAGGGGAAACAATATCACAACCGGCGAGACCTACACAACGGTTGTGCATCAACGCCATTTTGGGATATTTTTTACGGTTTGGTACCAATCGGGTGGATGTTCATCTCGACTATACACGCTGGTTTACGGAATGACAAAACAAACTTGTTCAACGTGAATTTTTCACGCCGTTTTGTTGAGTTGCAGACTCTGAAATTTTGCACACGTGCAACTTGGGTACATGCGAAACTCTGCGTCGAGGGGGTCTTCTTGTCTTCGTCTGTTATACGGGGTCCTAGAGGTTCCGGGAAGGTTTCGGCGTCATCCGTCCCTCCTGGGACCCCGGATATCTGGCGACAACGGAGTCAGAGTCTAACTAAAAAACGCGGCGTGAAGTTTTCAGCTTCTGTGCAATGAAAGATGACTCCCCCCCACTTTTTCATTTTAATATAAACAATCATATCCGGCCCCTATTACATTACAAAGTGCCCTGTTGCGTCAGCTTCACAAGTTTTCCCACGAAACTTACTGGTAGGCTCCATTGCACTATTCTGACGTGGAAAAAATCATGAAAAGTAACTTTACGTATATGGCACCGGCTTTCGGGGGTCCCAGACCCTAATTGACCGGTCAAGAGTCCAAAAATTCACTCAATTTTTCTTGAACGGTTTGGGCGGCACTTTGTTGCACAACGCTCTCATATTTACTATATATCGTGTTGGAGTCTTCTTGCTCGGCTGAGGCACAATCAACCCCTTAGCTTTGTGGCCATGGATCCGATCGAAATTCCGGCCATGACGATTTGCTCCCTTGCTCATGGGGGTCACTATGATGTCACATATGTCAATTTTGTGTACAAATTCGTCTGGCAGCTGTGGTTGAACAGATTTGATTTCATTTCCGTGAACCAGCTTGTATCAACCAACTAACTAACCAATGGGATATCAAACCCACTGACCACGATAACTGATTGGAAACGTTAGAAAAGCATCAGATAAGCGCAAACGAGCTGATACCTCAGAACGAATTAATTCACCCACACGACAACAATACCTCCTACCTGAGCCTCTCTATGCTGTTGAACGCCTTCTGCTGGAAGAAGACCTTCGTGAGCCCCATCTGCATCCCCACGTCGCGGCACAGCGCCATGAATTGCTCCTCCGTTGACGCGTTCGCCCTCCCCTTCGTCACCTTGGCCACGATCGACACCACCAGGGCTTTGCACACCGCACGCTCCGACTCCTGATCGATCTCTCCGCCGTCCTGCCAAAACAAAACAAAACAAAACGAAAAAGGGAAATAAGCTGGAGTCACACCAAACCTCACCGGCGGCGCTCACGAGAGCGCCACAATCTCACCTTCGGCGTACCGTAGGGGACATAACGTAAGATAACACACCCCGTGGACCGACCATTAACTCTCGACTACTTGCACGATGAAGAGCATCCCGACATAAAAAAAAAAATGTCTTCGAACGTCTCTGTTCCAAGACCGTACGCTACCAACGCCACCATTTTCCGCTCCACCACTCCCTCTGCTGTCCATGGAGAAAGCTAGCCTTGAAGTTCGGCCCAGGGGGTGCGATTATGTCACCTCACGGAAAGCGCGTCGAGGTCTATGTAGCTGAAATCACAAGCACTAAACACCACCACCACCACCACCACCACCACCACCACCGCAAACACCAATAATCAAGGCCTCGCGCCGCAGCAACCTCACCTGAGCGCAATTCCTGTAGGCCGTCTCGACCACCAGCGGGGCGAGCACCCCGTAGCGGTCGATAAACTCCTGGATGCCCAGGCGGACGGGGAACCCGGCGCGGGCCACCCTCACCACCTCCAGCACGCCCGCGTTGCGCAGCTGCTCCGCGATGCGGTCGTAGGTGAAGTTGCCGGGCTGCAGGTCGTCGTTCGGCTTGATCGTCCGCACGTAGTGGGGGTGCGTCTTGTCCACTGTGGCCACGAGGTTGTTCAGGTTTTCCCGGAACTGTGCGCCGAGAGACTTGGCGCCGATGGTCGTGCGCCTGCCGACACGCCGGCCGCCGCCGCTGCCTCCACCCCCTCCACCGCCGGCGCTTGAGGCCCCTGCCGTCCCGGGGACGCCGCCGCTTTCCGACCTGCGAGGCTTGCCCTTGAGTTGTACAGAAGCGGGGCGGAGGTTTGTGAAGCCAAAATTAGCAGGGGTAAGAGTTGAGGGTCGACCGCACGCCGAACAGAAGCTCCCACCCAACAAGACGAAAGTGTCGGTTCATATGATAAATCGCGGGGGAGGTAACGTGAAGGACGTGTAACTCCACCAAGCTGGGCGCTTCAACAGTGGTACACCCACCAGCCTCCGAAAACTTTACATGGCGTGGCTGCAAGGTCCACTGCTGTGGCACCCACCTAACCACCCCGTTATCGATCATCCTATGGCCGTCCCAACACAGCAGCAGTACACCGCACGGGAAAGGCTCTAGTCTTAGTCTACAAACCTTGGTAGACTTGGCCTCGATCTCGCCCATGAGGACCGTGAACTCCGACCCAGACGACAGCAGCATGTCAACCCCCTCCTGCTGCAAGGTGTCGCGGTTCTTGTCGATGATTCCCTCGGTGCTGTACACCACCTTGCCCGCGTAGTGACGAACGCAGAACTGGTGGTCTACCCGCATCTTGGGCGCCAGCTCGAAGCGGTCGTGACCCTCGCACTTCTTGTACATCTCGCGGGCGAAGCGGTCGTCGGTCGACCTGCCCAGGAGGCACTGCACGGACACAAAAATGGCGGAGGGGGCGTGGTGACCTACAATGGGGTTTCTTTTCTTTCCACAAACGAATCCGGGTGACAAAGAGAGTTTTGCGGGGAGACCAAACTACAGCAGGGCAGACGCTTCCGAAGAAAGAAGCTCCCCACAAGGCAATAAGACAGCAGTTCACACAAGACGAGACGAGGCGAGACGAACAGCGGCCGTCAAAAACACCGGGCTAGCCGTGGCCCGATGAACCGCGACCAACGCACCTGTTCGTCCAGGGTGGGGATGATTCCGTTCGGCTTCCTGTCGATGAGATCGATGCAGTCCTTGTTGTCCGGGAACTCGATGAAGGTCCACTGGATCTTCTCCCGTTCGTATTCCTCCTGCGAACCGTATTTCAGTTTGAGAGAACAAGTTTTAGATCTGCTTCATTCAAACACGCTTTCTTGGGGGGATAGGCGACAGCAGCCAGTCCCCTTTGACACCCTTTCATGTCTACCAACGTGCCGAAACACCAGATCGATACCAATAACAATTTCAACGATCCAAGAACTGCTGTTCATTAAGTTTTTGTTGCACGAGAGCACCAAGAGACATTCGTAGGGCACTGTATAGACCACCGCACCTGCTCCTGGCGGAAGACGAAGTTATTGAATTGTTGCTGCAGCACCTCGTTCGCGTAGTTGATCAAGAACTGCTCGAAGTAGTTGTTCGTGAAGATCTCGAAACCTGCAACCGCGGGTGGCGAGGGGAGGGAAACAGCGGCAGAGCGAGGGCCGGCAGGCGGTTATACTCGAAAAGAGGGTCCACGAGTGGTAGGACAACGCGGGGCATCGGCATGGCACAAGCGTTCCATTGTTAAGGGCAGCGGGAGAAATCCATCCTGTACCATACTTGAGAGAAAAAAAAGAGGAAGACATCACACATTGGCCGCGCGCAGCAAGTCTGAAAACAACCCCCATCGACAGCGTCTCGAACCAAAAATACCGCGTCCAGGCCCATCATCACGAGTATCACGAGCTTTTCTCAAGACACGGCAACACCGAACCATCTATCTTCGCATCACCAAATCGATGAAACATTCACACCACCTGCGCACCGTGCTTGGTGTTGCTGTCTTCGACCACAGAAGTCGTGTCTCTCAACCTGAGGGGCACTCTGACTGTCCCCAAAGTGCCTCGTGGAGGTCACGCTTGTTTTCAATGGCAAGACAACAACACATAAAACCACATCAATCACCACGATCACCTCCCACAATCGAAACACCGGCAATCAGGAGGTGATAAATCGGCGAGTAACTTGGGGTTGTGGGAGTAGACAAAGCACATCGCGCGGGGTTTTGCTATTTTTCTTCCTTTGCTACTTGTACACATCCTCTTTGTCTTGACAAAACTATCGTCACTCACCGAAGATGTCGAGCAGCCCAATGAAGATGCGGTCCTCCGTCATCACCTCCGCCTGCTTGGCCTCGATGCACTCGTTCGTTCTCCCCACCACCCACTCGAACATGGCCGCGTACACCGCCTTCGCCAGGGCGTCCCTCGCGTGCCTCGACTGCTCCATCGTCAGGAAGATCGTCACCTGTTGTGCGGGTTTTCCGCCCATCGTCCGTCCCGTCACACCCGACCACCCATCATTCCACGGAACCCCCGCATAGCGCAACCACCAGTTGAAGCACGCCGTGCCGTACACGGACGTGTCCGGGCGGAAAGAGAGACAGCGAGAGGGAGAGGGAGAGGGAGAGGGACGGAGGGAGGGAGGGAGGGAGGGAGAGAAGGCGCCAAGACGTCAGCGCATCGTTGGTGGTCGAAGTACCTCTTCGTGTCTACTAGTAGTGGACATCAGAACCCCACCAGGAAACAAAACAATCACTCCTACGCAAATCAAACCAAAGCAGACGCTTATCGCTGTGCCCACTAAAGCTATAGCAATGCAACAAGTCAACAACGACCACCGACCGCGCTGAAAAAAACATGGCGCCGCCGGCCTTACACCCACCACTCCCATTTGCTGCCTCTACGTTGTGCGGAATGGGAGCACGAGCAGAAACCACCCCCAGAGGTCAATGGTCTAACGACTACGGCATGCACGGCTATGAGTACCCCCCCCCTACTCGCACACATACAGCACCTGGTTACTGATGCCCGCGTTGATCTTGCGGCTGGTCAGAGCGTTCAGTATCCGGTCGGGGCTAACGTCCAGCAGGCGGGCGGCCGCCTCGAGGCGCGGACGGCTCGGCTCCGACAGAGCCGTCAGCGCTTCGCCGTCCCCGGCGTCCGGCCGATCGACGAAGTCCACGTCCCCGAGGGCGAGCACGGCGGCCACCATGCGGAATACGCTGGCCTGTTTGGGGGTTCACACGCCGTCATTGAACAAAAAAATCTGTCGTGTTGGCTATGTTGTAGTGGAGTTTTATTTTTATTGGGGTTGTCGGCGGGACTGCAAAGGTCACGCGTTCGCATGGATTCATAGGAATTGTACTCAGAAAACAAACCGGCGGCTGGCCAAAAGCAAAGCCAGTCCATACCCACGGCAACGGAAGAGTTTCAAGTGCACGCGTACATAGCTCTTGACGCAATCGATGAACCCGAATCATTTTCTGCGAATGGAGCGATTGTAGAAGACGACAGTCTCGAATACAACTTTGCCAAGCAGCAGTCTTACTGGCCTCCGAAAAACCATTCTCCGACACCGCTGCGTTCCCGCCCCACACCAACCGTGTTGTTCCTCCCCTTATTCCTCCAGCGTGGTCAATGGTCCAATACTTGAGGCATGCAAAACATGAGTACGCCCCCGCCCCGTCCCCCAAGTAGGAAGGAACGATTGGCCATCTGTGATCGGTCCTGTGGGAACAACGCTCCGTCCTCTCGAGGACGCGTGGTCAATGGTCCAACCGCTGCGGGATGAAAAACATCAGTACCCCTCCCCCCCGCCGGACGGACGACTCGCCTTCTCTTCCTCCTCGAAACCCATGACCTTGAACGCCTCCATCAGCTCCTGGTAAAGCTCCGAGTCCAGCACCCCGTCGCGGCGGTCGTAGCAGCCCGACTGCGACGTGAACTGGTGGCTCCTGAGGTCGCCCATCGCCCAGCCCTCGCGCTGCTCTGGGGAAGCCCCCGCCGCCAGCATGTAGAAGATGTGGTAGTTGCGCTCCATCGCCGAGTGCTTCACCACCCGCACCTTCTCGAGGAGGAAGGTCTTGATCTGCGCCCCGGTTAGCTTGCCGTAGCTGTCGAAGATGATCTGCGTATCGCGGCGTTGTGTTGCCGGAGGGCGTACGTCGTTTCAACGGGTGGCGTTATTCGACCGTGTTTTATTTATCGTGTAGATACACATCGTTTGTGGTGGATTGGTGCTTCCGCAAACACGCATGCAAACACTTTTACCACAACACAAGAGTTGCAAGTCCACCCGACCGACCGTGTTAATGTCGACGTCGAAAGCCGCGTGAGAGGCTGCTAACGCATGGCCGTCCACATCAACGATCTCCAGCACAGCCAAGCGACACATCCCCTCACCAACGAGAAACCACGGGCCACACACAGCATCGACAAACGCCTATTAGTCCCACCGGCTTGCCTACAAGGTCCTCTCACCTGGATGTACTTTCCGAAACGGCTGGAGTTGTCGTTGCGGACAGTCCTGGCGTTACCGAACGCCTCGAGGATGGGGTTGGACTCAAGCACCTGCTGCTCGATCGTGCCCAGCTCGGTCGACCCCGTCTTGCTGCCGAGAATGGCCAGATACTTCATGATGATCTTGCATGTCTCCGTCTTTCCCGCCCCGGATTCGCCACTCACCAGGATGGACTTTTTCCGTTCAAAGGCAACACAAAGTGATTCATTCGGCGGAACGGGGGCGATTGTTGTTAGTCACCAAGCAAGAGAGATGCAGGAGAGGCGCGACCAGTCCGATGTTGGGTTGACATCAATAAAATAGGGTGCTGACACAGCATGATCGAGATAAACGTCTGTTGTTAACCGTAGATGTATATAAGAAAAAAGGCTGTCGTGTCTCTGGCTGACGTCTTCGTCCGACGCTGTCTCCTGAGGGGCAAGTGCCATACTCTAACCGACTTACAGCAGTACTGCTCCGAACGTTTTCGGTACGTGTGTATATGCGGTTTCACGTGCACATAGAATATTGTTTGGAATCTTGAGTTGCCAATTTCAGGAGACGGAGGGTGAGATTCTGTTGTTCGGGTAGAAACCTAGAATTCCCGAAGACCTGACCCACCAAGAGGCCGCAGGAGCAAACGCGACCCCTTTTCCCCTTGAATGCACACCGCGGTATGCTGAATGATTCAACACATACTTCGAAGTATAATCCAAAAGCGAAACACGACACACGACAATCGGTACGCAAACACAGCAGCAGTCTTGACCACGATCATGTATCATGCTGCGCAAACAAAAGAGGAAACAACAGGTAAGGGAGCGGGCTCCCGTTGGACTGGCTCTTGCCTTGCTGCAACGCTGCTACCAACGAGTACGGGAGACTGCTGGGTGCGCACAACCAAAGGCCGCGTGGGTTGGTATCTAAGAACTACTGCTGCCGATTTAGCGGCAGTATCATGTCTCCTACATGCCGACCTGAGGTTTGGGTTGGTCGGTGTGTCGTTTTGTCATTTTGACTCTTTCGGTGGTTTTCCCACGTACACCTGCATGTATGCATGCAACGTAGAAAAAGCTCTGCTGGGGTACACTTAGTTCTTATCGCGCTTGTGTGATGATTTGCCTTGGGTCCTCCGTGTCTCTTTGCTCTCTTCGTAGTATGCATACACACCCACACGGAAGGTGTCCGCGTCTTCGGTCCGCGTCAGTTGGGGCCAGTACGGAGGTCAAAAGGGTACTCAAGAGAGATCGGAATATTTTCTAGAAAAACAGAAGAAAATCAACACTGCTTATATATTTTAGTAACCGGAGGTCACCTCCGTGCAAGTGTGACGCTTTTTTCCAATGCCCAACACTCGAGCCGCCACTGCCAGAGGGCAAACCTTGTGTCGTTATCAACACTGTCTTGATTCCCATCCACCTCAACGGCCCCTTTTTTGATCCACACCCTCCGCAGTTACAATGCGAGCGGGGGATTCAACATTGCTTGAGTTTTCCGGGTGCGTATCTCATATCCTATGTATACGCCCGCGCCAAAAATACACAGCAAGGGCATTACCTACCAAACGTCATCCTGTTACAATATTTGCTAGCAGCAGTGTGACCATGAAGCCAGCGACGTGCTGTGCTAACTAGGTGCCCTGCATACAAAACGGCGAGGATAGTGAAGAGAAGAGCCGTCGCAAACCGTTATCATGGGAGTGCGATATACGAGAAGAAAACTAATCAGATCACCGAGCAGTAGACTATGACGCCGGTCGTTGCGGCGCGCGTGCTTTGCCCGCCGGGCGTGACATCTTCGAAGACGTGAAAGTGCACTACCCGTCCGTAGACAGCACCAAGGCTTACGCACCCACACACACGCACACAAAGCCGTACCTGAGACCGGTGCTCGTACTCGTTGGAAGGGGCGGTCATGTTGCGGTACGCCTTGTCAGCGATAGCGTACACATGAGGGGCCAGCGTCTCATCGTAGTTCGGGTCGTAGTGCCGCAGCTCGCCGTCCTTGCGGTAGGCCGCCAAAATGTCGTCCGAGTACAGCTTGACCCTCTTGAAGGGGTTCACCGCGAGGAGGATTGGGCCGACGCCGGTGTAGATCAGGTCCGACTCGTAGCGCTGGCTCAGCGAGTAGAGGATGGTGGGCTCGTGCAGGTAGGTGAGGGAGGTGAGATCTTCCACTCCCGCCCCCTCCAGCGTGGAGGCCTGTCCGGTCACGTTCCGAAGCTTGACGTCCGTGCACTCCTCCTCTTCGTCCGCCGCCACGGCGAACTCCGCCGTTCCCCCCTCCTCCAGCACGACCGTGATCCGTGCGATGCTGCTGCCGCCCGTTCTGTCGGGCACGCGCTTGCTCACCACCCCCTTGCGCCACAGCTGGGGCCCGCCCTTCGCCCACACTTTGACCCCTTCTTCCATGTTCGACGCTGCTGTCGTTCAAAAGAAAGAGCGCGCCGTTCAAGAACCCCAGCACACAGAAAACCGATTCGGGTACGTCCCACGTGGCACGCACGAGTTACCCAGTGCTGTCAGCTTCCGCCTTTCTCTCTCTTCCGCCAGAAGGGGGTGGGGGGCGGGGCGGCGTTCGCTGTGGCTATCTCTGTCCCTCTCCTCTGTCTCTCGCGCTGCTGTTGTGTATCCCGTTTTCTAACCGTTGGTTTTTAGGGGGACCGCAACTGTACTTCATCACATACCCCGTTTCAAGAAAATACCATTGGGCAGAGCGCCCCCGGATATTTGCGCCGCAGTGCGATGTACCTTCCGTCTCCCATCCATTCCTGCCCTTGTTGCCATGAGGAAAGATCTCACGGCGCTGCTGGCCCGCGCTGAGGTGGACCAAGTAGAGACTTCGCAGAATGCAATCAGTCGATTGGTGAAGCTTGTGGCAGAAGATAGCAGTGGGGTGGATGCTCGCGAAGCTCTGTTTGGTTGCCTGGGCAGCTCTCGTCTAGCGGTGGTTTCTTCAGGGTGTCAAGGTGTGTAAAAATTGTGCGGTGAATTAATTACTTCCGCCAGGCTAAGAGGAATTGTTATGTAAACTTCGAAGTAGAGCATATACCGTAGGTTGCATAAGATACCACACCCGTGTGATAATATTTTCGGGAGGACGAAAGTTATCACACGGGTGTGGTATTCTGTAGGGGGTGTGATATCTTATGTCACCCGTGTGATGAGGTGTACTCACAGAGTCTCACCAAAAGGGGGTGTGATAACAAGGGGGTGTGATACCGTCGCCCGTGTGATGAAGCGCGCTCACAGGACCCGGCTTACAGGGGGTGTGATAACAAGGGGGTGTGATAACTTCGCCCGTGTGATGATACGCGCTCACAGGACCCGGCCTGACGGGGGGGTGATAATGTCGCCCGTGTTGTTGCAGTGCGCCCACAAGACCCTACCTACGGGGGTGTGACAATAATGTCGCTCGAGTGATGCGGTGCGCTTACAGGAGGCACCCACGTACAAAGGGCGTCAAGGGGTGTAAAACAGGTGTGATAGCTAGGATGGCTCACACCACTCCATCACGTACATGCTTTCCCACGTGCATTTTCGCAGTATCCTTTGGAAATTCTTCGCATAGGTACACAACGAAGACGTAGAACCGATACCTCATAGCGGTTGTGCCAATGTTGTGTGCGACAAAACGACAGCACACAGGTATCTGGACGACGCAACCACTTGCAAGACTTGCGTTCACCACTCAAGCTGGAACCACATAGGACGCAAGCAAGTGCCAGCTACATATCAACCAAAGCTAGAAACCAAGAGGGCAAGCGACTACCGAAACATATGAAACCCAGGATAAATTGGCTCGAATAGCAGCTTTGGTTGACTTGACCATGGCATGCAACTACGGTAGGTAGATACCAGACAAGACACCTCAGTCTATGCAAACAACGTCCGCCCCCGGCAAGTCTGCCATGACCTCAACCTCCGAGTCATCGTTGCCTTCGCCATCTCCCGAGCTGTCATCGTCGTCGATTTCCAACACCTCCAACAAGTCGGCCATCGTCTCCCCCTCCTCCGATGGGCCAGCCTCCTCCACGCCGGCAGCGGCCGCGTCGCCGTCTGCACGAAGTGGTTTCCCTTGGGCGTCGGAGTTGAGCTCCTTGTTGGCCCACGCCTCGTCCTCAGATCCGTCGAAGGCAAGGGTCATGCCAGCCTTCCTCCAGCTCGAACGGATGCTCTCAGGGTCCACTTCATCCCACGCTTTCTTCACCCACTGCGCGAGCAATCCCCTCGATGGGGGATCCGGGTAGCCGCGGTCGTTGCGCACGGCGTCGGTGGAGGCCATGTGGTCATCGTAGAGCCTGGACATGTTGGACTTGAACAGCTTGTTCATAAGTGCATCGCAAGGCTGGATCTTGGGCGTTAGGCCTCCGGGGACAAAAAACAGCGTCGTGTTGGACTTGTCCATCGCTTCCTTGCACAGGGCTGTCTTGTGCACGGTGTAATCATCCCATGATAGCAGCGTGTCCGGCTGACGGTAGTTGCCCAGGACCCCCTCGCGACCCGGGCGCCGGTTCCACACTTGGGGGAGCCAAACATCCCTGAAGACGCGCTGCGTGTGCCACGCCTTGTCGTCCACGGCGTACACAACGCTCTGAGGGTATGCTATCCCCTTCTTGTCCTTGCCCACCTTGAACTCTCGTTCGATGCTGTTGGCAGCGGGGGTTTTGCCCGGCGCCGTAGGCTTACCCTTGAAGATGAGCAGCGGCGGGAGTTTGCCGCCCTTCATGTTTGCTGCAAGCACGGCAGTGATCCGCAACTTTTCCTTTCCACCGGTTTTGATGGCCACTTCTTTCTGACCGGTGTGCTGCGAACGACAAAAATAAAAAAGCAAAAAGCAATAGAGAAAGCAGAGGCGACGAAAAAAGTCGATTTTGTAGATGAGAATGACAGCTCTTCACGCACAAAGTAACGTATGGGTTTTGCAGTACAGCGATGATGGATGCGAATGGTAAGAAACTTCTGACCCGGCATAAGCACAATACCAACGTCGTCTAGCCTTACTGGCTGGACACTGAGTAGGTACGGCAAAAAATATTGCATCACAATGCCCACTGTTTGCACGGAATGCCAAGAAACGACCAGACAGGCACATGACTCGAAGCAACACTATTGAACTCACCGCCACGGTCGACGTGCCAGCGGGCTCCATCCACACAGCAGTTTCATCCATGCTGTAGCTCTGCTCCTCCTTGAACAACAGACGTGGCTTCGAAGGCGCACTGCTCGTTGCCCCCGCCATGCTCCGTCCTCCCCCACCGTCGATTCCTCCGTGACGAAGTGCCCTCCATTCCTTGACGGCTTTCATGGCAATCGCAGGCCACCCGGAAGGGAGTTTCTGGCCTTGCCTGGCAACCGCCCGGAATGACAACCGGTTCTTCCTAAGGAACCTCCTGCACCAGCGAGTCTGCTTGTTGCGGTACTTTCTAATGCCCTCCAGGTCGTTCGCTGCAGGCCTCGGGCCGAACCAAAGCGAGTTGATCGATACCGCCTTGTTCTTGATCATCCTTGTAGAGACGCGGGCAGAGATGGCTTCCGAACGAACATCGTTGATCCAGTCGAGAAGTTCGAGCTCGGCCTCAGCGTTTGACCTAACCCTCCCCGTGATGAACGACTTCACGCTCCGGGCTTTTTTCTTGCGTGTGGCCCCGAGCTGGTCTGCCTGTTCCAGCTGCTTCTCGTACTTTGTTCTGTCTTTTATCCACGCAGAGAGTGTGATCTTCTCGGGAATCCCAAGCACTCGTTGCGCATACGACACACCGATGGTTCCATTAGGCCCCTGCGCCCCCGGGCTTTGCATGGTCGCGTACTTAATGGCGTTTACTTTGAATTCCAAATCGTACCGCTTGCGTTTCTGGCCACCACCAAACTTAATAGGGAAGTTTGGTGGCTCCAATTCCAGCGGCTCTCTTTTCCTCTTGCCCTTGCCCTTGCCCTCGGCCGGCGTGCCGTCGAGACGCCCACCGAAACCATCTGTCCACTCCTCTGACTCTCCAGGAAACATGGCGTCGCCGACGGGCGCCGCTGCGTCTGCTGTCGTCGGTGCTTCAGGCAGGTGCACGTTCCTGAAAAGCGCATGAGTTCGAGGAAGCAACAAATCATGTAGCATACGTGTCGTTAAGTGCAGTATCTGTAACAATGCGCTCGCTCCAACGACCATCAGGCAAACGTACCAAAAATACGATGGCTAGCGGATAGCTCTGACAACGGCCACCAGGTTGAGAGTCATGGCGTCCACGCTTGCAAGGTACAGAGGGTGAGCAGCTGACGGCACCTATTTCGTATCTCACACAAACAGGCACGAACTGCTGTCGAGGTTATGTTTACATATTTGCACGTGTTGGGTACGGGTTTCGCAGTCTGCCTACCGAAACATCACGAACACAAAAAACGGTATGCGGAAACGTGTCGTGTGTGTGAAAAACACAATCCAGCAAACATTTCGCCCACACCAGAATATTTGAACTACATGTAAATGTAGTGTGTACATGCCAATGTACAGTGAGGCGAGCGCGACGACACGTCAAAATCACATTATTTTTTCGATCTGGTTATCGATCAGGCAATCAGGCGTGGCATGTTCTTTGGTTTGCTTGAGCCATGAGAATCCTCACAAACACCCATGTGCTGCAAACTGCAAGACGCTCTGCGCACACCTTATTTTGATGTAGACGTCGCCAGACTCGCATGCCTGCCGCAAACTCCGGCATATCCTTCCCTGGCTCTGCCCACAAGGGCTTGTTGGTGCACGATGGTTCTCCGCAGCGCGGTGCTGCTGCAGGGTTCTCAGCAGTAGCCGCGCTCAGGGTGTTGGTGGTTGGCGGGAGAGCTGCCTTTTCGGGTGTGGGTGTGGGTGTGGGTGCTGCGGGATTCTCAGCAGTAGGTTCTGCTTCGCAGGTTTCAGCGGCACCCGCGGTGGCAGGCGCAGCCGGTGCTGTGGGAGTCTCAGTAGCAGTAGATTCTATTGAGCGGGCCTCAGCAGTACGTGCGGTGTCATGTGCGGCTGCTGAGGGAGTCGTCCGAGCAGCCCCACGTTCCCCCGGGGCGGGTGGAAAGAAGGACGCTATATGGAGCGTGGGGCCGCCGCTGGAGTCTTACCCACTGCAGTCTGAGCCGCGGGGCTTTCAGCAGGGTTGCTAACTGCACCACCCTCCACGACATTGTCCGCCTCCATGGCTCTTGCGAGCAGGTGGTGTGGTCGTGATCTCTGTCCTCACGTTGTCACACCGTGTGATAAGCAGGGGCTCCGTCGATTTAACGCGGCCCAGCTTCAGGGGGTGTGGTATCTTATGTCACCGTGTGATAAAATGACGTTTTTTGGGGGGCTGAAAAAAATAGCACACGGGTGTGGTATTGTGTACGTTTTCTGAGGGGGTGTGGTATCTAATGAAAGTGTGATATCTTATGCAACC